TAAAAGATTTAAATGGTAAAATATTTGTGAAGTAATTTAAATAGTAAAGCTTCACAAATAAATTGCGTTTCTTCTTCTCCATTTGTGCTAATGGCACAGAGAACAATGAGGAGTATGAAATTTGTCATTAATTGTCAAATTTGAATCTTAATAATAAACAAGAATTAGCTGCTGAAGTAACGATGGACCAGTACGGTACAGAATAAATCCATAATCAAGTTTTACAGTTTGAAATGAGCAGACGGCCTTAATCTTGACTATTTATTACAAACAAAGCTTTACTTTTTGAGTCAAATGTTTAATATGAATCTTAAATGAAAGCAAAATGTTAAATGTGTAGCTACAGAAATTTTCTCAAAAAGCAATGTTGTTGGGAAAAGAAGAACGTATTGATCACAGCTTGGATATTTAATAATATCCCAGTTGTTTCATTAATAACCATTTCGCAGAATGCCCAAATGTGTTGTTGTTTTGTTTTTTTGTTTTTTTTCATGAGCTGGACAGTTTTAAATGTGTCATAGTTTCCTGAGTTAAGGTTAAGAAATATAACATTAAAAAAAAAAAAGTGGAATCAGATCTGTTTGAGGTAGCATGAACATACATTTCACTGTGGCTCATAAAAGTGTAACAATATAAAGCATTTAGTGTAACTTAAGCATGCAAACATGGCCGGCTAGTTTTCATAATGAGTGACTCACTTAATCCTCCTCGTTTGTTTGTCTTTTAGTGTCAAAACTGCATGAGGATCATGGATGATAAGGAGAAGAATTTATTTATGTAACTAATTAAATAAGCTGCAGATTGTATCGCCCACCAGAGGATATCCTCAGACAGCAACAGGAGAATCTGACAATTGAAAAGTAGTAAAAAAAAATGATTTGGTCCGCTGTTTCCTTCAGTTGTTTTATTTCACAAAATCTACAAGAGGTCACATGGAATCAGTGTTTACTTTTATGGCATCTGTTGGTCTTAGTGAGCGATTTCAAAACTGCACTTACAATTTATGCTGAGATCAATACGGACAGCTGAGTATTTGTGTGAATATGAGGCTGTTTACAGCAGCAAGATCAGGTTTGAAGCAAGAAAATAGTTAATAATTCTGTTTTGGGAGAGTGCACCTATAAATAATAAAAGCAAAACAAAAAAAAATAAAAAGAAATATTTTTTTTCTAATGGCATCACAATTTTGGTCTGTGGGAGTAACTAGTTATTGATCCAACCTGACCCACACATACAAAGTGAGAAGGCTGGAGAGCTGCTAGGAACTAATATTTCTAGTAAGTGTTTCCCGTCGAACACACACACTGACGGAACAAGTACAGTTGGAGTGCGCGCACCGGTAAATCAGCTACACTGTTTAGTACGGTTATTTTCTATTTAATGTCTTTAAACTCTGGCTTTATGTTTGTAAAACAATATGATTGTAACACACGTATCTGTGTGAATTCATTTCACTCATACGGCGCTTTAGTTTGAAGCTAAATTAGCCCAGTTAGCTAATATTACGTTAGCATTAGCTGCAGCTAAAGCGGCTTGTTGCTGCTGCGGGTTGTTGTAGCATCAGGAGCTAATGTTACAGCGGAATAAAAATAAGAGGAAGTCGTTATGGTTTGTGCTAAACTATTGTGTTGTCACGTTAAATTTAACGCTAAATAACCTACTGAGAACAGTGCAGGTCTGTAAATGTGCTGCTAAAATGAATTATATTGAACTCAGCTCTCCGGTGTCCTCAGCGAATACAAACCTGGAGCTTCACCGAGCTGTAGTTTGTGCCTTTTATTAGAAAACATCTGGGTCACAGAGGTGGTTTTGATTTGGAAACAGAAGTGCATATATGCTTTAAACCCAGAGATTCTAGAAATAATGTAACCCCAGTTTAAACTGACTAGCTTAAGCACTTTATGAGGCTGTTGAATTAAATTAATT